TCTCTGTCCCCACCTCTGCCTGGCATGTGGAAGGAACATGCAGGGCAGGTGCTTTGGAGAGCGACAGCACCAGGCAAGTTTTTCTGGTTGCAGCCCAGAGGAGACCCAGCTCCCTCCCTCTTGGAGCATCTTCCCTCCCCACCTGCAGCCACCACCAGATCTGAGCCACCAGAGCCACCAGTGCTGCGCATTACAGGTGTCCACAAACACTGGGAGCCTCCACCACATTCTCGGGGGTGGGGGGGAGTGGCGCAGGACAGCGTCATCAGGGCGGACTGCCAACACCAGCGGGAAGACCAACACCAAGCCCCACCAGCACTTTCCCAGGCAAGGGCTCGTAGTAGCTGTACTGCTCATGTCCTCCAAGTAGCCCTTTCCAGCTGTGCTATGCACAATAAGCCCAGCAGACAGCCAGTCCTGCTACCTGCCACCCCCACATGCTGGCCAAGCGTGGTGCTGCTCCCGGTTCCCATGGTGACCCAGGAAAGCCATCCCCCTGCCTGAGGCTGCCCGAGCTGGGGAAATAACACATTGCAGCTGCCCAAGGACGGCCCTGGGCCAGGGGTCCCCAGCTATTGGGAGCTGCAGGGTGCCCCAGAGTCAATGGGCTCAAGAAAAGAGGACGGAGCAGGGAAGGCTGAGGGCCATCTCGGAATCAGAGAGCATCTTGCTTTGCCCTCTGAGTGAACAGTGGAGAGAAAAGGAGAGACAGAAGGCAAAGCTTAGGCTGGCAAAATAGCTCAGTAAATCAAAGCACCAAAAGAAGGTGCAGGGGCCGGGGGTTCGATCCCAGGCCTGCCATGCTGGCCCCGCCCCGGGGCGTGCTGAGATGGCAATTGAGACTGGGTGTGGTGGTGCGCACCTGTAATCCCAGCTAATAGTGAGACCCTGAACACCCTGCAGACCCTTCCCTAAAAATACAAAAAGAAAAGGAAAAAATGCTCACCACTGAAGGATCCGTGTGTTTTAATTTCTCTGTGTCGCACACAAAGCCCTGTAGGCCGAGCCTTGCCCGGTTTCTGCTGTGGAGAAGAAATTGCACTAGAGAGCCAGAAGCTGCCCTGGGACTCTCGCCCGCTTCCCTGGCCCTAGACTTGAGTCGGAACTTCAGTGCCATTTGGAGGGAGTTTCCTCTTAGTGGATCACAGGACCAAATTGACTTACCAGAAGGGAAATCAGTAAGCAAAGGGAGCCGGGCTCTGTGAGCTCAGCACCGCCTGCAGGGCAAGTGGCCCGCGCTGGCAGGGCTGGCTCCCGCACCCTTGGGACAGAACAAGGCCAAGCCCCGGAGCCAGGCAGAGGGAGAGAAGGCACGACGGTGACGCTGAGCCCCAGTGAGCTCCAGCCGAGGCCCAGCGCTGTGCCGTGGGCGCTGAGCCGACAGTGCCCCAGAGGCGACCACAGAGTGCACAGCAAGGCCAGGGACCTGGAGGCTTCCCAGTGGACACAGGGCCTCAAGGCGCAGCACACGTTGGACACAGGTGATGGGGACAGGGTCAACCTCACCCCTCAGGGAGGGTGCTGTGGACTCAGCCAGGGCCCGGGGACAAGGCCAGGCTCTGCAGCAGGGGGGTCCCGGCACAGGCATGAGAGGAGGAGATACAGCAAGACTCGGGGTGCCCGAGGGGCTTGGCCACACCCTCTGGGGGAAGACAGGAGGGCAGGAGCAATGAAATGACAGCGGGGTGGGGGCAACCATAGGCCTACACACCCCAGACCCTTGTGTGAGGCTCAAATGTTTGAAATCGGCGGCTTCATGTCAAATTCTAGATTTCTGGCTTCTCTGAAGCAGCTGTGGAATCCACTGAGCTCTCCGTGTGCCTCTCCACGGGTATTTAGCACACATCCACACAGCGCCAAGGAGGCCGCTGGCCCTGAGGGTACAACCAGGAAAGAGAGAGTCCCGGATATCATGGGGCACACCTTGGTGACAAACACAATAATGGCACAGCAGGGCGGGGTCAATGCCAGAAAGCAAGCAGGGCCAGGGGCCAGGGGGTGAGGGGTGGCTCAGCAGGACGCACAGCACAGCACTTCCACCTGGCCAGGGAAGGCGGCATTGAGTCCTGTCACCCTGCAGGCACGGCGGGGCGGGGCCCCTCTGCCTCCCCACAGGGCGGCAGCTGGGGTGCGGCTTGGTAGGGTACCAGCCATGGTGAGCAGCAGCTGGCCAGAGACTGGGGACAGCCCCCGGCCACACAGCCACCCTTGGGCCCAGGGAGGGCACAAAGTGGTCTTGAGGCAGGAAAGGAAGTAGGAGGGGCAAGTGGGGGCCCCAGGAAGCAGCTCGGGGCCTAGGCTCCCAGGGGACCTCCTGAGGTGACCACGGGCAGAGAGAGCTGTGGGGCTGGCTGGTGTCTTGGCAGCCACTAGGAATAGCAAGGAGAACATGAGGGAGGCAACAGGAGCTGATGAGGAGGGCGGGAGGTCGCACCAGAGAGGGGAGCACGCCGGGCCCAGAAGTGGCATTTGGCTCCATCTGTCCTTTCTGAAGCCCCAGGTTCGGCAGACGCTGCCTCTGTCCCTGGGGTGCTGAGATGCACTGCAGGTCAGGGGCTCTGCGAAAGGCCACAGCTGTGCCTGCTCCGGCCACCTCCACCGCCTCCTAGCCAGTGACCCAGGCCTCATCCCGAGGGCCACACCATCTTAGCTCTCCCCTGAACTGCTCCATGCTCCAGCCTGACGGCTGGCTGGGTGCTCGATGCTCCCTCTACTGCAGGGGCCTTGCAGGCACCCTTGATGGAGGTGTTGGCCTCAGACGACCCCTTGCAGCTCAGTTGCAGGAGGGAATCCCGCAGCCCACCTGGAGTGGCGCCTTCGGAGGGGTCTGTGGCCACCTCTGGGTAGTGATCCAGCCCTGGGAACATAGACAGCACCCTGGGGGCAGAACTCTCCTCCGCAGGCCAGGAGGCCGATGCCGGCAGGGCCATTGCATCAGAGCTATCTGGTGTCATTGCTTGGGTGGAGGCAAACCACAGGGCCCCCCCAAGGCTCTGAGCTCCCCAAAATTGCCCTGCTGTAGTAGAATCACCAGCACTCAGCCTCCCCAGTTTATTTTGTCTCCAAGGAAAGCTGGCTTCTGGGCTCTGTGTGGCTACAAAACCAGGTGGGGGCCCCAAGGCTCAGCAGGGACCGCAGAAGGCAGGACACTGCACCTCCTGAGGGGCCAGCAGCCTCACACAAGGACCCAGGGCCTCCGCAAAGGCAGCTGTGCCCGTGACTCAGTCTGTGGCGTGCAGGGCCTGGTGGCTCCAGAGACCCCAGATGGGAAGGCCTTTGGGTGATTTCTTGGAAAATAACAGTGAACAACGGCAGAATACCAAGTGGTGTTCGCGGCGCGCCACCCTCCGCTGAGACGGGAGAACTAGAAAGCGCAGAGCTTTGCTTGGATGTGCTTCGCGAGGCAGGGAAGGGCTTCCTGAGCAGTGGGGAGAGGCGAGAGGGAGCACGTTGCTCACTGCACACTTTCTGTTTTAATATTTGAACCGTGTATGTTCCAAATAATGAAATAGAACCCTATAAATCAGCATCTTTTTCATTACTTAGATCATCCTTAAAAATCACCAGGCTTTCAAAAACCCATCCTAGAGCAGCCCCTCTGCCCTGCCCCAGGCTTTGAAGCTGGCAAGGCAATCGGCAGACGTCACAGGTCCTCAGGGCACTGTGTCCAGCCAACTCTGTCCTCGGAGCTCCCCAGGGGACACAGTGCTGGGCCACCAGCTCCAACCACTGGCCTGGCCCTGGACAGGGCAGCATGCCCTCAGCAGGCAGCAGTGAGGCAAGGGCTCCTGCCTCCCCACAGCCCACTGCGCTCCTCTGCCTGATGGCCAAGGCCACCTCCCAGAGCCCACACTCCATTGCCACCTCCCCTCCTGCACACAATCTCCATGGCAACACACCAGCACTCCTTGGAAACCACAGTCTTGCCGACCAGCCAGTCCATCAAGGAGAAGGTGGACCAGAACCTGGCTGAAGTCACAGCAGTCTCACAGGAGTGAAACCAGTACCTGAGCCAGTGCCAAGCCAGGGTGAGCACCTAGCTGCCCTTGATGGGCTGCACAGGCTTGGCTCCCACAGGAAAGGAGGTGGGACACTCCTGCGAGAGCTGCTGCAAGCTGTGGATGGGGACAGAGCCCGCATCACTCTCAGGGCCTGCAGGCCGTGCTCCACAAGCTCCAAGCTCCCACAGAGGTGGATCTGTGGTCTCCCTAGAGGACAGAGCATTAGCAGCATTTAGAATAAAATTCCCTGCAATTTTGAAAGCCAGGACAGCTTCCAGTGGCTGAGGAAAAAGGGTGCTCTGGCTGGAGAAGGGAAAGGAGGGGAAGCAGTCCAGAGAACAGCAGGTTCTGGGGCTGGTGTGGGAGCTGGAGTCTCTGCTGACATACTCCAATCAGGTTGTGTTTCTGCCTCTTTTGCCTCCATCTCCAGCTCTGTCCTGCACAGCACTGTCATCTCGGGGTTGCACTGTCCCTGGGTCTAAGGCCGACCATCCAGGAGGCCTGGGCCAGCCTTGGGAGCAGAAGCTAACCTGCTGTTGAGGGACGCTGACTCTGAGCACTGAGGCTGGAGCTCACAGAACAAAGATGCACCCACCCTCAGCTGCGCTGAGAGGGGTGTGGGAGGCTGACTCGCAGGGCCGGCCTTGCATCACCCTGGGCATGCACTGCACCTGAGCTGCACCCCAGGCCCCAGACGGAGGCCAATCAAGGCCCCTGGCCCGTGGGAGAGTGACCAGAAGGATGACAGGCATGTCGCTGCCAGCTGTGAGGGACGCCCTGGCAGTCCACAGCCACACAGACGGCTGTACTGCAGGTGACCAGCCCTGCCGAAGCAACTGTGAGGAACATCCCTGAGGATGTTGCTGGGCAAAGAATCCAGCGGGTCCCCGGCAGGAAGGGGCAAAGGAGGGGGAGACCCCATGGGCCGGGCTCAGTCTCACAAGCAAGCCACCAAGTCCAGCTCCTCCTCAGCCCTGCCTGATCACACAGCAAACTCACCCAGGTCGCCCTGGCAGACGTCTGTGCGCGAGGCTCCGCCAACGATGAACTGCGGGCTGGGACTCAGCTCCTGAAAGCAAATGGGACAGGCTGCAACACCAGGGCAGCCGGAGCCGAGCTGGCAGAGCTGGACCCGGAGAAGGCTGAGGGGGCTGTGTGGTGTGCGGGTCCCACCCCACTGCTGAGGACTCTGAGCCCAGAGCAGCAAGCACACTGCCTGGGGGCCACAGCAGGCTCCACAGAGCAGGACTGGCCCAGGTGTCCCTGTGATAGCTGCTGTTGCTCTGGTGTGGAGTGAGGGTGAAGAGTAGGGGAAAGCAGAGCTGACAGCTGCCCCGCCCACCCAGGTGCCCTCCGGGTGCACTGGGGAGGACCCGGGCTGGGCAGAATGCTGCGACTCCGCGGCCATGACCTGCAGTGGCTGGGAGCCCCTGACCAGCATGCACGGCTGTGACGCCATCGCCCTCCCCCTGGCAGCCCCACGCCTGTAGCTGCCCACCACTATGAGCACCCGGGGCTTTCTCCTCCTTCCCTTTACCCAGCGAGGAGCTGCTGAGTCCCCATTCTGTTCATGAGCACATGCAGGGAAAGAAGGGGCCACGGCAGAATGAAGCAAACTCTGCACTTTCAGGCCAGCAAGGAATCCTCACACTATGAAGACACTGGGGAAGAAAGGGCGAGTGTATGGAGGGAAACTGAGGCACAGGCCATGGCTGAGGCTGCTGCACAGGAGACAGCCCTATCTGCCAGAAGGACAGCTCCTCCCTCAGTCGACCCAGCTGCAGGCAAATCCTGAGGAAGCAGGCGAGATGGGACGGAAGCCTCAGGTCACATCGATCACAGCAGCCGCTGACAATGCAGCCACGGCCAGAGCTGCAGAGAGTCTTTCCTGCCTCGGCCGCAGCCGTGAGGAGCTGACAGAGGGGGAGGAGGGCGCAGGCGCAGAGTTGGCGCTTGGCATCACTGGAAACACCCCACTTCCTTTTTAAGTATTAAAAATATTCATTGGCTCATAATTTGTTGATAAAGTAACACATGAACATAGAAAAAAAAATCCAGCGGTTAAATGGTGGCATAAAACTAAAAGTTCCCTCAGCGGACTGAAACGCCTGCTTCGGCAGAGCGCAGCGGCCAGGGTTCGAGCCCTGGTATGCTATGCTGGCCCTGCCCCCAGGGCACGATGAGATGGTGACTGAACTGGGCATGCAGCCTGTAATCCCAGCACTTGGGAGGCTGAAAACAGGACAATCACTACGAGTCTGATCTCTGTAGTGAGACCCTGTACACCTTGTACACTCTGTCCTAAATTCATTAAAAAAAAAAATAAAAAGTCCCCTTTACTTCAAATTCTTCATTAACATTTCATCAAAGCACAATGGGGGTACATGCGCGTGTATGTGTGTATGTGTGTGCATGCGCGTGTAAGCTATCCACTACTATAACCAAATACTCAGGAGCATAAACCTAAAACAATGAAAAGTGTCTCTGTCCCTGTCCCTGTCCCTGTCCCTGTCCCTGTCTCTGTCCCTGTCCCTGTCCCTGTCTCTGTCTCTGTCCCTGTCTCTGTCTCTGTCCCTGTCTCTGTCTCTGTCCCTGTCTCTGTCTCTGTCTCTGTCCCTGTCTCTGTCCCTGTCCCTGTCCCTGTCCCTGTCCCTGTCTCTGTCCCTGTCCCTGTCCCTGTCCCTGTCCCTGTCTCTGTCCCTGTCCCTGTCCCTGTCTCTGTCCCTGTCCCTGTCCCTGTCTCTGTTCGTGTCCCTATCCCTGTGTCTGTCTCACCAGCCTGCTGCATGCACACAGTGTGCTGGGGTGTGAACTGGAAGAGGGCCTGAGGACTCCTGTGTCTAGGGCTGGATCCCAGCTCCAGCGGTGCTCCAGGTAGGGCTGTGAGGGACCAGATGTGGTCCTGTCCCTGTCCCACCCCTCCCCTCTGCTTCCCGGCTGCCACAGAGAGCACCCTCACTGCCCCACCCTTCTGCTGTGGTGGACTGAGATCTCTGCAGTGTGAGCCAGGGTGAGCATGTCCCCCTGAGCTGTGTGTGTCAAGATTTTTGTCACAGCAGCAAAAGCTGACTGGTACATCACAGGACACTCTCCACCCTATAACAAAGGGAACCTAGCCTACAGCACTCGGCACGGCGGACCTTGAGGATGCTCGGTGAGTTAGCCTGGTTCCAACAGAGCATGTGCTGCATGACCCCACTGGCTCGAGCAGGGGCGTTGGACCCGAGCAGCCAGACTCAGACCCAAGAAGGGGAACGAAATCATTGCCAGAAAGGGCCAGGACAGGACTGGAGCAGCTGCAGTGGGGTCACCCCTTAGCAAGAAGAGTCGGAGACGGAGGGGGTAAGGCCCCTCCGCCATGTGGGTGAGCTTTTGCCTCTGAGCTGCACACTGGACACAGCCAAGATGGACAAGGTTGTTGCCTGGGGGGCACACTCACACACACTCACTCACACTTGCACACACACACCCAGCTCTTAACTCCCGGTGCACCGTGTTTCTGGACACCCAGTCAGCTTGCAGGGCCCTGAGAGGCCTCTCTGGAGGAGAAAGGCAAACACAGAGGCATTTGGGGTCAGCCTGGTCCCCTCGGAGCCACAAGCCACCCAGGTAAGACTGAGGCAGCCTCTGCACCAGCTGCGGAACCTAAAACTTTCTGTTTATTCTCATGAGTGACCCTGTAGACACACGGTCAGCTCTTCCCAGTCTGGAGCCACGGAGCCCATGCGGACTGTGAGACAGAAAGAGGGGTTGGGGAGAGCGGGTGTGCATGGAGGGTTGGAGCGTCAACGTGTCCAGGAAGGGTGCACACAGGTGAGGACCTCGCCACAGAAGACCTTTCTCTCCCAGCCAGGCCTGCTAGCACCTGTCGCCTCCCCGCCTGTCCCTCTCGCCTGCAGCCCTGCCCTACCGTGTCATCCTCCTGTCCCGGGCATCTGGCCTCCCTTTACACTCTGCCCTGCCTCTCGACCTCCACCAGCACTGAGGCCTCAGCTGTCCTCAGATTCCCCCCTGCCACCTCGCCTGGCGTGGGGCAGAGGTGGACAGACAGTCCACAAAACAGCACCACTTCAGGAAGGTGCAGCTCCCAGCCCTGGCGGTGCCGGCAGCCCAGGCTGACTCAGAGGGGTCAGGGGCACGGGAAGGGACTGGGCAGGCCTGGAGATGCAGTGCTGGAGTCATTCCCAGAGGGGAGACGAGGCCACAAGGCCCCGAACAAAGACTGAAAGGGCAGCCCGAGTCCAGCGGTGATTTGGGCCGTGTGCACAGGATTATCCTCTCCTCGCCATGCCTTCCAACCACTGCTAAGAGCAGAGATCATGCTTGCTTCCCTCTCACAGTGCAGAGCAGGGGCCCCAAGGGCACCCAGCGCGAGGGGGGCCTTGTTAGACATTCAGGGCTGCCACCCGCATGAGCGGAGAGTGCAAGAGGCGGAGCCCGGCTGCCCAGGAGACCCCAGCGCCTGCAGGTGAGCAGCAGCTGGTGCGGGGAGCGGAGTTGTCACGCCTCACAGCAGAGTCTAATGAAAAAGGAAACTGGGGAAAATCCCCCTCCATCCACAGAGAAGTTATCTTCTAGGAAGCTGGGCCTGGTGCTAGAGCCCAGGGTGCTGCCCGCGAGCGGAGCCCTGTCCTGAGGAGTCCTGTGGAGGATCTCGGCCCTCCGAACCACTCTGCCGGCAAGGAGCCAGCCTCGGAGGTGCAGTGGCTCAGTCCTCGGTGGATCCCGGCCCGTAGGGAAGACAGGCTGGACAGCATCTGCCACAGCACGCAGGCACCCGACCTCTGCCTGTGCCCCAGCCTGTCACCTGGGGCTGCCCAGGTCTCCAGGCCCCGCCCTGCACGGCCCTCCTTGCTCCTCACCGTGGGCCGCTTCCAGATGATGCCTTGAGTCTGGGGGGAGCCAGGTCCCAGCTCCTTGTAGCCCAATGCTGACGGACATGCCGGGAACTCGGGGTCCTTAAACAGCTCCCCGGAGTCCAAGCACTGCTGCTTCAGTGCCTCGAAGTCCTGGCCCAAGTACTTCACAGCATTCTGGTGGGAGCCCAGCCCCTCAGCAGCCGCCCGCCGCCTACACACGCCCGCTGCCTGGGCCGCCATGCAGGCTAGAGGCAGGAAGGAGCTCTGTCTGGGCCGCACGCCCCTGGAGGGAGCTATAAGGCGGCAGGCAGAGGGTGTGGGGCAGGCACCACCAGCCCCAGGCCCTGCTGCTGTCACAGCCAGGACAAACACACGCCCACGGAGCCCCACCTGTAGCTGGGAGGCTGGGCCCTCCGGCCACCCGTCATCAGCCCAGGAAACACCAAGGCCTCCAGGGTCCCCCGCCCTGCAGGCCAGCGTCCTGGCACTGCCCTTAGCTGAGATGAGAGGCTGTTTTCTTCCTTGTGGTGCTGGAGCTCGAACCGAAAGCCTTTGGACTGGACTACATCTTCCCCCCTCTCTTCTTTCTGCCCCCAGGTTTTATTTTGAGGTAAGATCACATTAAGTCACTAGAGTGCCTGGCCTGGGCCCAAGCCTAGAATCCTGCTTCAACCTCCTGGAGTGCTGGGATTACAGGCGGCACCACTACACCGGGAGAAGGCTTTTGGTGAGGCAGAAATTCCCCAAGGAATCACTTGAGGACTGTTTCTGAGCAGGAGGGCAAGTGGTTGAGGGTCTCCATTCCTCTCCAGAGGGTCTCACCCCCCGTTTCCTAGGAGGGCAGGAGTATGAGGGCCCACTCTCAGGACGGAGGTGACAGGTTGGCCACCAGTAATTAGCTGTCACCCTGGGCGAGTGATTTAACCCCTTTCCCCATCATTTGCTCATCTGTAAAGTGGCACATAATGAGAGGCCTGGCTGGTGGGCTTGTTTGGGAGAGCAATGAGGCCATTCCCAGGACTTGCGTAGGGCGGACTCGAGCAGCTGCAGTGAGGTCAGCTCTCTCTGCACCTCGGAGCCAACCCAGAGCTTCAAGCCAGGAGTCTCCTTCCAGTCTCTGAGGTGAGTCACAGCCACACCCAGTCTGCCCGGGATGGGGACCAAATTGATGCTTCTGCATGCTGGCAGGTGGCACACGGGGGCTCCCGGTATTGACTTCAGGAGCATGTGTGAATGTATTAGGGACAACGAGCTCAGTCAGTAGGACTAAGTGAAGGGTCTTGAGATGCAGAGATTATCTGGACCCTAAATGCAGATGTCCCCCCAGGAGGAGGCAGTGGGACGCAACACAGACGGGAGGAGAGGCGATGAGACCTAGGAGGCAGAGGCAGGGTGATCTCCAGCAGCAGAGGAAGCCACAGGGGCATGCAGAGGGGTGGGACCAGGACCTGCAGGCCCAGGGATACTGCCTCAGGACTCCTGGCTCCTGAACCCTGCAGAATGAAGTGCTTCTGCTCTTTTAAGCACCCAGGGTGTGCTTGTTTGTTAGACAGCCACAGGAAGCCAGGACAGTTCTCACTGTCCCCAGAGCACTAGCTGAGAATGCTGCTTCCCTATGCGGCCTGGACCGCCCCACCCCAACAGTAATGAGCTCTGATTCAGGAGATCTGAGGTCAGCCCCAGAAACCTGCTGCACAACCCTCTCCCCCAGATACTTCAGCACAGAGCCCTCACGACTCACACCAGAGCTTTGGACCAGCTGGGCCAGTGATGCCGGTCCACCCAGCGCTTAGAGGTGAGTGGGGCTGAGTGGCAGAAAGCAGGTCCTTTCCCCTGTGCAGAAGGAGACACAAGGACAAAGGTGACTCCACCACAATGCAAGGGTTCACCACCCTGCTGAGGCCCAAACCAATGCATGACAAATATGTGCCGCCGCTCCTCCTGGGTGGCCTTCCTTCCTACCCTCAACATCCTTGGGACAGGAAAGGTGCAACGTCCACTTGATTGGTTTGGAAGCCATGCTGAGGACTGATGAAGCACTCTCCTGGGGTGTCTGGGAAGGTCCTGCAGCTGTGCCCCCTTGGGTACGATGTCTGCTCCCCCACCCTCTGCTGCTGCTCCCCTCCATGCTGCCCGGGCCACCATGAACTGAGCAGCTTTGCTCCAAGAGGCCCTTCTGCCATGGTGCCCCTGCTGACCTCAGACTGAATCCCTAAACCCGTGAGCCTAATTACCCCTCAGCCCCTTTCCGTCATGGGTTTGGGGTGTCATCCAGTGATGGGTAAGTGACCAGCTCACCTTCCCTGGATTTGACATCAGCCCACCAGTGAGCTCAACAGGTGCTGACCAGGACATCTAGGGGGCAGCGCTCTAACAGCCCTGGATGGGAATGGAAGGGAAACATTTGTTGCAGCTTTGGAATCCATTTCCTAGTTGTGGACACCATGACCAAAGTCCTGGACAGCCTTACTGCCCAGTGACCACGTCAGGCACAAGTGTGCCAAGCTGCAGCCCTCCCCAGGGCCCTCCAGGGCGACGGGTGCTTCCTCTGCTCTGTCTCTACCCTCACCGCCCTCCCAAGCCTGGAGCGAAGTTGCTCTGCCCCTCTGCAGGCTCTGCACCTGCACAGCCCTCCCCCCAAATGTCTCCCTCTTGCCCCACGCCCAGTTCACGCTGCAACCCCAAGATCCCCGTAGAGAGTGCTTCCCGGTCTTCCTCTCGGCCCAGGAAGTGTATACTTGGAATCCCATGAAGAGTTGTTGGAATTCCAGTGAGTTATTTCCAACCTCCCTCTTCCAGTGCAACCCGTGGTGAGAGCAGAGACCCCGAGGCGTATCCGCCGCTGTGGGCGGCCAAGGGGTCCTGAGTCCAGCCACGACGACGGCTCTCCAGAACAAAGGCCTGGTCCAGGCTGAGCCCTGCTTTTATTCACCCTGCAGAAAGGAGTGGCTGGAGGATAAGTGACTGTGATCCTGGCGGGGAGCAGGTGAGCGCTGTGAGCTGGGCTTTGTGGGAGCCTGAAGTCACCTCTGCAGTGTGCAGAGAGGGGCGCCAGGAGGAGTAAGCTGCGTGGCCCAGCTAGGTAGCAGCTAATGTCTTGGGGTCGGTGCTGCAGCTCTGGTGTGTGATGTTAAGCCCTGGGAAGTCCTAGCCTCTTATCCTGAGGCTCGATCCCAGGTCCTAGCCAACAGCGGGCAGCGTAGAGCACACGCTGCATCCCACCTCACCCCAGCTCACACGTGGGAGCCGTGAGGCGTGGAGACACTGCCCTGTCTTTGCTTCAAAGACCACACCTCAGCACCTTGGCTGGGCCGATATGCATTGCTTAAGGCCAGTTAAAGCGATCAGAAGGAGTCCTAGCCAGCCCACCTCAGTACACAGAAATAGGGCCAGGCGCAGCCAAAGTGGAGGCAGTGGCTCCTCCCTCAGAGGAGTCGCCTACGTGGTCCTCCACGAACCCTGGCTGCTCCCCTCTGGAGGCTTTCCCGGTGACCTGCAAGGCCTGGCCCTGAACATCGCCCGAATGGCAGGTGCTGGCTCTGCCCACACACCTGGGCCCTAGCACACTCCTGCTGCTCAGGGGACTCAGTAACAACTCACTACACAAAGGTGCGTGAGCAGACACGGCTGCACCCGGATGCAGCCTGCACGGTGCTCCCCAGGGACCTCGCGGGGTCATTCTCCCCAGCTGCTCCCATGCCCAGATACTTTAACTGTAGCACAGCTGGCTTCTTTCCTCCTCACAAGAGAGCTCCAGCCTCCTGCCACCCCACCTCAGCCCCTCTCCCACTCCCAGAGCTGGAGCAGCTATGCCCTCTCTCCTCAGAGGGCTGCCGAGCCCTGCAGGCAACCCTCAGCTGCCCAGTCATAAAAGAATAGCAGCTGCAATTGGAGGGCTCTGTGCCAGCCCTGGCGGGCACACTGCCAGCATCTACCTGTCAGCAGCAGCCTGCACCCGAGAGCTGTCACCAGCCTTGTGCCCAGACAGCGGCAGGGCCTGCCGGGCAGCCTCAGGCCCCGAGGAGGGGTGTACCAGGCAGATACAGGCCTGGCACCACCTCCTGGAAGGGACCCGGGCATCGCCATCCCTGCCACGAGCCCATCAGCAGGCCAGCGCTCCCAGACAGCCAGAGGGTGTGGCACATTGGTGCCCCCTGGCTGCAGCCCAGGGCCCGAGGGTGCATGTCAGGGAGTTGAGTCTGCGAAGCTTGTCTCACCCAGGAACAGGGGTGAGTGCTGGCAAGTGGTTCGTGCCTCCCGGGCCCCCGAGTTCCGAATGCTGAGGCGAGCAGGGCTGTGCGCAGGCCTGGGTGCCCGGAGCTCACGCACGGAACCAGTGCGCATGCAAACTGTCAAGCGTCTGGGCAGTGTGCAAGGTCCTCAAAATGCCGCTCACAAAGCGGGTTTGTGGTTGCCAGGGGTGGGGCAGAGAGGTAGACGCTGGCCACAGACAGCTACAAGGTCGTGCTGGAGGAGGGGACGAAGGAAACAGCTAGAGGCGATGGGTGCTGCTGAGGACTACACTTTTAGGTTTTCGTCTTTTTAAATTCATTTTTTGGTACCAGGGATCCAACTCAGGACCTTGCACTTGCCAGGTCATTGTTTATGCCTCTGAGCTAACTCCCCAGCCCCTGGATTATATTTATTTATTTATTTATTTATTTATTTATTTTTGCGGAACCGGGGATTGAACTCAGGCCCTTGCGCTTATTCCACTGAGCCATCTGTCCAGCCCCTAGATTATATTTTAATAAAAATTTAAGGCAGGGCAAAAGGCACTTCCGTGGGAAGATGAGAGTGATCTAAGCGTTCTCGGTTGGCCCCGAGGACAGCTCGGCTGCCCGCCTGAGGTGCTCAGGGCAGGGTCCTGGGACCTCAGAACTGGCCCAGAGGAAACAGGGCTGCCTAGTCAAGTGTAGGCCTGTCCCTCCCCAGGTACCTGGGTCACTGCCCTGTGGGGTCAGCAGGGGCTGGGGGCAGGTGGCGGCATGGTGCTGGGACCCCACAGAGGGCAGGGTCGCCATCAGTGCTGACGGGAGACACTCAGCGGGTCCAGCTCACCTGCGCACAGGCCTGGCCACACCCTCAGACTGACACTCCAGGCTTGCCTGTCTGAACACAGGCTGCGGGCCTGGTGCCTGAGTGGGGTGAGGGAAACTGTTCTCACCCCGCGGCAGACAGGGTGGAGGTCCTGAGGGGAAACGTGGGCCGGGAGGAGGGGTCTCTCCAACCCTGCAGAGTGGAGACCT